CAGCATGAGTTTGCCCCTGAATGTCATCCCTAGATGGCACCTCATATAATATGACACTCTACGCGTTCGTAGGTAAGTCCACAAGATTCGAATCAACCAGGCCCATCCATCAATGCCAATAATTGATGGGTGGATTTCATAATCGCGAGATGAAATGATTGTCGGGGAAAAGCCATAATGGGCCGGCCCCGGAGTAATTTGCCCCAGGCCCCCAGACTGCCTATCATAAGAGCTGATTGCTTTGTGTAACCTGACATGCAAAGAAGATCACCGGCAAGAGGGTCGAGATCTCGCATTCTGACATGTCATCAAGGAAATTAAGTTGCCATGTGTTTACCTCATCCGAAGAGGAAGCGAGATGCATCATGTAACAACCCGTCTGTCCGTCAAATCACAAGTTGGAGGCCGAATTTGATGTACAGTAGGATAACGGTAGCGATGACAAGACCAAGGGACAAGAAAAATTCAAAAGGGAAAATCCCAAGACTTTATGCTGTGTGGCCTGTGGTGTGCATGATGATGGTCCTGCTCTGCATGAGCCGTACTGCAAGACTGCATTTAAGTGCAGCTGTAGAATTCGACCCACGGAGTGATCTGTGCAGCGGAAGAACGACCGACAATGGTTCCATATCCCATGTCCAACGGTGGATGGTGGCTCCAATGCCAGATGAGGTTCTGTCGAATGTCCTGAGCCTGATAGGGCCCCTAAGGCTTGAGCCCTGTAAATTCTGTAATATTCCCGTTCTAGCGTCCCAACATACCCTGTAGATGAAGAACATTCGAACGATTCGCCAACACGTAAGCGAATTTGACATTAAGTTGCCGTTTCCTGATCAGTACCGGGAATGTCCAAAAAAAGAATCTTCGTCCGAAAGTGATGGGCCCAGTACGGATCAGAAAGTTGGTAGAGCAAAATAAACATATTTGAATATCTCTATGTGATGTTGCTGACCTTGACTGACACAGTATATTCAGAAGTATCTCTTAGGCCGTTGTACCCTCCATATTTGTCGAATATTTTGAGTATCTCGAGCTCTTGGCTTAGAACAACATGGGTAAAAGTACAGCTACACACACATATGTACCACTGTAGATATTACTCATCGTTTCCTCTGAGCATTATTGGGCAATTGAATTCTGAATGTCCTTCTCCGTACTGTACTCATTTAGCCATGCCGTTTTCCAATATTTAGACTCGATATAATAATAATAATAATTTAGACTGCTTCGGAATTGATTAGCCCATGTTTCTGTAGTGACATACTGATCCATACCCCTGCTATTTCAACCTCTACGAAATGAGGTAGGAGGACATAACGTCGCATAAGGGCTTTTCATATCCTGAAGCGGTTATGATTTGACCTATGAGGAACATATAAAGTCCCATAGTATCATATGATACGTCTCGCCATGATGGCAATTTCAACTTATGATAGGCTCTAGGTTCGAGGATCCAACTCAAAATCCATTTCTTGAAATTCGCATATCAATGGACCACCAATACAACAACAACAACAACAACAACAACAACAACAACAACAACAACAACGGTCGGATTACCCGTATCCGTAGCCGTCCGGATCCATCCGGATTCAATATGATTCATTTAGGATTTTCTTGCATATAATGATGAAAGTTGTTGGGTAGTCAAACGTTTTTGTAACAATATGCCTTGGAGAGTGGAGAGGGTAATGCGTATGAGATGAGATAAGATGAGATGTTTGAAGTCACAAAGTCAGTGAAAATAAGTAAATTTACAATATAATTAATTAACTATTGTATTGTATCGTATTGTAATACAGTAATAAAATTTCTATAATTTGTAGTATGTTATGTATGACATGGTCAATACCCCTGCATAAATTATATCGTATTATAAGTACCGATATGGCAGATACTATAATTAATTCCTTCGCATAGTAGATTTTCTAAAATCTAAAATCTAATTATCTAATATCTAATTCCTGTTTGTTTACGACTGCAAAAACACCAGCCACAGACACAGTAAGATGAATGGATGCACAAGGGCACTTTGTAAGAAAATGTTCCTCTAGGGAATAGATAACGTTCAATAGACAGTTCTATTCTAGTATCCCCCAGTCGATATCATAAGAAAGCAACATCTCATTTCGATTCTCTATCGCGCCTATCATATGGTTCCATGTCTGATGCTCCCTTCAAAGCCTTATTCATGATTAATTTGGGCCTTCGTATGGGTTGCCGACTGCTTCAATAAACGCTGTGCATGGTGCATCAATTTAAGATCTTACATGGGTTGATGGAGCTCGTGGTTAAGTCCTGCATCGAATTGTGTCGAGAGAACAGCACAGTACAGTAAGTACTATTACCTCTACACTACAGTGTATTTGTATTTCATTCAAATGAATACTGCCATTCGATCCCCAAGAGAATGCAATAAGACCATATGGCAGGCCTATCAGCTGAATCTCTTACTAGGGGGAGGGGGGGTAAGTTTCTGTCTCTTATCCATTATAACTTTAGAAATTGACTCGACAATAGAGTCGATAACTTTGAAAGCACATATACTCAAGAATGTACCCATGATATGCTATGTATGCTATGCTATGGGCAAGTCCCAAAACTTATAGCCACCAAAAGAGCTTTTCGACAGGAAGGATACTAGATCTTGATGAGTTATATATTATGGCAATCATTTCTATATATCTACGGAGTACTCCATAGAAATGGACTGTGCGGCCCATAACAACCTGGGAACTTTATTAGCAAGCAAGACTACTCAAGTAAACGATATATGTATCTGATGTACCCACACAATCTGTCAATTCGCAAACGAAGAATCTTGGAAACCTCCACGCTGGTCTAGCGATGAGATGATCTACTGGATATGACTCGGAATCTCAGGTCAAACGTACCGCACCGTACCGGAAATGGGGCTTCCTTCGATCACTCATCTCAAAAGTGTCCGGGGTGGTAATCATGGGTATGAAAAAGAATGACAGGCCCGAAGCGCTTGTCCAATGTCCATCTCTCAAAAAAGAATCTACTTGCAAGCAGGAGGTTCTAGAGGGACCTGGGGCCTTGTCATCTTAACTGGCTATCAGTGAACGAGGCGAGGAAATTCAACTGCTTCATCGAATTAAAGCTCAAGTTCGGCAACTGGCAACATAAACGCATGTCTCGTCTCCAAATCTCCCACGTAACCACCTACACCATATTCTCAACACCTAATTCGTCTCATCCCATCTTCTATTTCTCCTTCTTTGCCGGGTCATCGAATTAGCCACATAACTATCTATATCTTCAACATCATATTCTATACCGTTTGAACCAATAAACTCGAATCCTTAACCTATAGATAATCTTGAAACCCACAACGATACTCTTCACTTAACTCAGCATTGATTGGGACCCTTTCTCACAATCCTCGATACCGGAAGTGTACCAGATATTTACCGTTTGGGTGGGAAAGAAGCCATAGGGATCATTAAGAACTTTCAAAAGTTGGGAAAGGGCGACACACCATTCTGGCCTCGCTCGTAACTGCCTCATCGGAACTTATAGCATTTATCACTACCACCACACTACCACCACACGGCCTTCTTCATCGACAAAAGTATTCTTGTACCGTTACATACAAAGATTAATTCCAATTAGAGTTCATCTCTGCTCTTGTATTTCTCCATACAATACAATATACATCAGTATTTTTTGGCCTACTCGACAACGGGGACTTTGATGTATCATCTACATCGCAAACTCATACAAAGTCTTTAGATTAACTCAGTCTACATACTACATACTACATACAGTAAGGTATAGATAGTACTTACTTGCAAGAGGAGGTTCCAAGGCGTTACTCAATTCAATCACTCGATCACTTTGGTTGGTTAAAGAGCACCAGAAAGGAAATCGTCTTGTCCCTGCGTTCCTTATCCGCGCCGTCCTTTTGCCCTAGTCGAGTACCGAGTATCGCTGCTCGTAAAGCACCAATCAGAACTGCTTGAACTCTTACTCGCCCAGTCTTTTACATCAGTCGCATATTGTCAGTTTTCATTTCTACAATACACGATCGTTGAATCTTTACCTTGTGTGCACCTACGAGTTTGCTCGGATCGAAGAACTAAACAGCTTGGACAACTCTGTATCCACGATATCGTCGCCAAGATCTCTACAATCATCATCATTATCATTATCATAGTGAAGACTTCCTGTCCATTTGTTTTCCGCATCTGTTGTTTCAAGAATTTCCTCGATATCAAGGCCATTGCCAGATTATCAGTACATCGAATTCGGAACGTCCACTGTTTCTTGGACATAGCAAGCGGCTCTCTCACGTATTTTACCGACACTCCTTCGCGCTCTCAAACATCTCGACGGACAGTACATTTGTTCGACAATTATCTTTACCGAAGGGTCGATACTCAGGAGCGGCGCACTTGCTCAGGCGGCACTATCCTGCAAGGCTCACGCTCCAATAGGGTTTCTTAGCCCCATAACTACTACTACGATTATAAATTGGTTTGAATTCATCGAAAATCTAGAACTGATGCTTCCTGATCTTCTCTCGTCCACTACCAGTACTTTCTGGTTGTTCATAACTCTACCTAAACCCTTTCATACACTCTTTAAAACCGACCTCACCCCCACTCACATCGCCACTACAAGACAACAGACAACAGAAAACAGCAGTACGAAGGGAATTTCCTGTTCTAACCTAGCATTATCAGGCTTCTTGCCAATCCATTCTCTTGATTTAGAACTCGAACTCGAACTCTCGAACGGCCGCCTAATCTACCTGTGTCGCAACCACAGCGCAGCAGAAAACAACCGGATCACAAACATAGAAGAACCTCTCTCCTATCTCCTCTATTCCCACCCCCCTTTCTGGTTATCTCTTAGTCTCACAATCTCGAACTATCGATTCAAATCTTCTGCACCGCAAGCACAGCACAAGAGAGAACAAGAAACCGAGGATAGAGAGATATCGAGTATAGACATAGTAATCCATAATCATAAGCATGAACACTCAACCATTGCACGACTTCGCGCAGGCGCAATCTCTTCAAATTCCAGGACTACAAAGGTATGCCCCTCAAAATTTCGCCATGTTTTCCAAGTTTTCCCTCATCAAGCCGATAACTGATGTGTCGTATTTAAGCCAAGACTGTAAGCTCGTTATAAGACAACAGCCTCGCTATGCAAGGGTTAATATGGGCAAAGAGAAAGGTAAACTGAACTTGCAATCTGTTTGATTGGTAGAAATCTAATTCCTTGACAGACCGTCGAGCAGTTGACCCTCCCCCCGTCGTCCAACTCATAATTACCCACCAGGTCGACCCATATGAACGCTACATTATAAGTATGAAGTCAGTCTCCATGGTTTGTCGTTCATTAACTAACTCTCATAGACCCACATTTCTTCATGATGAGTCGTCTTACGTCGGTCACAGACATGCAAACTGGGACGCATCATGGAGCTTTACTAGCAGGTACTACTGTATCATCTTGCCATCGCCTCAAAGATCCGGAGACTGACGACTGGGGCGCATATTTTGTATTTGGCGATTTGTCTGCCAAGATCGAAGGAATCTTCATATTGCAGTTCGACCTTTTCGAGAATCGCGATGACGAAGTGGTTTGGATGGGATCTATTTCGTCCGATCAATTCACTGTATATTCATCGAAATCCTTCCCTGGGATGATGGAATCCACCTCCATGACGAAAAAGTTCCAGGAGCAGGGCCTCAAATTGAGAGTTCGCAAGGAGCCTCGGGCATTGCTCAGGAAGCGTGGTCCTGCGTTTGATGACTACGAGCCTAAGAAGTACCGCACTCGCGTTCAAGAGCCGGAGGACGAGCCCGAGTCTCCCGAAGCGAGCAGACGCAGCGAAGAACAGCAACAAGCCCTCGATCAAGCTGCACGCATGCAGCATAGATACTCGGGCTATTCCCAAGAATTCTCATCACCAGACGAGCGCCAATTGAAGCGTGTAAGGACCGATACCTGTCCAAGCCAGTCGAAAAGTCCAAACTTCGATCAACAGACCCCCGCCGAGTCACTTCAATGGCAAAGAGGATATGCTAATGTACAACAGCAGCAGCAACAATCTTCTTTTGCTGGCCATCAAATTCCAAGCCAACACCCCTTGCAGAGTTATAATGACTACAACTCCTCAAACTATGCACATTCTCCCCAAGAGATGACTACACCGGTTCGAGATCAGTTCTTTTCAAATCAACTCTCGAATACCCATATAAATGACTCGCCCCAGCCCAGGTCTTTACAATTCGAGATGAGTAACCAGCGACCGTCTCCCACATACTATCATCCACAATCGCAAGCATCACTGCATTCAATCGTTCCAATACTGTCAGAGCCCAATCCCATGAGTCACAGACAGACAAGCAGTTACCACAATATGGGGTATCCACCAAGATCACAGATTTCGCACGGGGGCCTCACCGGTATGCTGCCACCGTCAAACCTTGGGAGAAATCCCGCGGCCCCTGGGTTTTCCGGTTATCGGAGAGATACCCCTTATGACACACTACCTGGACATGGTATTGGCATAGGGCAATTCCCGGAGCAGAATTCATTTGCCGTTCCTATTAGAGATCCTTATGAAGGTCGGTCCTCCGCTCAAATTGTGACAACATCGCAGCCCGGATATTATCAGTAAGGTTTCCAAAAGACTCCACACTTACTGGGCGGGTAATGTCGCTGCAGCCGAATTTTGTCTTCTGAAAAGGATGCCGCATCACTGACATGTACCCGATTTGTCTTTTTGATCTATTCCCTTGCATATAACTACATTCAGTTAGTTTTCTTTTGTCAGGGGTCGTCAATCATGGTCTGATGGCCCATTTTGTTTTTTATCTTGTTTTGTTTTTAGGATCGGAACTGCATACAGCTTGAAGCTTTTTTTGCGGCATTTTCTGATTCTATTCGGGTTGCATATAGCAGGGCTTGGTATCAAAAAATTTGGGCAGCTTCAAGGCGGCGCTAGCTGATAGGCATGCATGAATTTTGCATATAGTCATTTGGACAGCTTCATTGCTGTTTTTCCTATTTGTCCATTACTGTTCTTCCATCATTCGTTCACAAAACTTTTATTATTATCGCAGGCTTGCGAATCATTTCTTCGGGCGGTATACCCAGGTTGGTTTTGGATCTCGCGCATGGGGCCAAGATGAAACATTGGATATAGGGCTCTGGGCATTTGGGCCTTGGACAGGTCAAGGCTGGCTGCATCAGGAAGGATTTGGGTGGAAAGGAGATTGTATTATAGGATATTGGGGGGGGGGGGGGGGGGGGTTGAAACTCGAAGAAGAATGCATTCGTTGCAACGGCGGCGGACTTTTGCATTGGATGCTGCAGCTAACATAGTTGCCAGCTGGATAATTTGGTTGGGGTTGGGGCGGCCAGGCCAAAGGAAAGGAAAGGAAGGGATGGAAAGGGATGGGAAGGAAAGGGATGGGAAGGAAAGGGATGGGAAGGAAAAGGATGTCGGCTGGCTAGGGGGTAAAAAGGCTATTACTATATTAATTTACGGGAGGCTCACTGTAGCATGATGTACACATACGTACAGTAATCTACAGCCTCGGATTGAACTCATTGGATACACAAGAAATAGCGCACAAGATTGTGAAAGTTTTTTTGGTTTCAATTTTTCCAATAGTTCGGTGCCGAAGATATAATAATATCGTATCGTAAGCCGGGGTAGTTTCAAGTGGGTTCCACAGAGTAGAACCGAAGGATTACTGTAATTATTGCATACGTCATCTAAATTTAAGATTTGTATAGTATTAATGTTTATTGTTGTTGCTGATTGGCGACAAAAAGGGGGAGCTTGGATTTTATGTTTATGGTGTTGTATTGTTTTTTTCTTAAGATGTGGGAAAAACTAATTTCAGGGTATTTGTTTTGAGTATTTAATTTCGAGGTGGTACTTGAGAGGTGTGAGAAGTAGAAGGTATGTATTTATTGAGCTAGGTGGGTAAGATATATAGATATACAAGAGTTCGGGATTTAGTTTTTAGTTTTGGTTTTGGTTTTAGTTTTAGATTTAGATCTGTTGGATGTGGTCTACCCCATTCGTCGATATTAAATTTCAAAATTTGCGTATACAGCCCATTCAACCGACGGGACGGCCCATTCGGGTATAGTCGTCCATCCCGTCGATATCGACGAATAGGGTAGACCAGATGGAGGATGGAGGATTGGCTTTATGTTGGATCTGGGTTGGGGGTCTTGTAGATGGAAATGGAAATGGAAATGTAGTTGGATGGATTATGAGGGGTGGGGGTTAAGCGTATATAACATGGATAACATAAGGTGTTAGCGAGCAAGGGGTTGGTTATAGGAGGCGAGTTATGAGTATGGGGGTATGGGGTATGAGTATGGGGATGGGTGCGGGACAGAGTATGGGAGATATAAGAAACTTTGTTTAGTCCGAGCTTAGTATATAGGTATTGATTAGAGATTCGAGATGTGAGATGTGAGATGTATGATTTGAGATGTAAGACATCTGAGATGGGTTTGGAGATTCGGCTCGGCTGGCTCGGTTAGGTTGGGTTAGGTTACTGTAGACATAGGGCTGGCTCAGGGCTGGCTTGGCTTGGCTTGGGTATAATTACTACATTAAAACTTATCTGCCATCTATACACTCATCTGCCATCCTGCCAACCTGTTAATATGCCAACTGCCTTTCTCAAAATACAAACAAGTATATACGAATATCATCTGATCACGTATCATGATTACGTTCTGTTTTAACGAAAATTTCATGGAACATTTTTGACATTCTTTTCTTACTTGGAATTAAGTAGCTAGGTATAGTACTCAGTAGTTGACCTGCGGTTCTATTAGATTAATAGAGTAATAGAATTCGAGCTCTTTCTTTGGCCCGGGAGGGTTTCCTAGCTTATGGGATGTTGGATTGAGAGGGAATGGGAATGGGAATGGGGATGGGTTCATTTTCTGTTGGGATTGGGATTGGGATTGAGATTGGGATTGAGATTGGGATTGGAATTTAAGAAAACAGGGGGGAATTTCGATGGTTAAAGAAGAGTTAGGAGTGAAGTCACTGAAGTGGCCCGCCTTACAATCCTTTCTTTGAAGAGGAGGGGAGGGAGGGGGAGGGGAGGGGAAAATGAAAAAAGGTTGCTTGATAAGTTGAGACTCGGTTATTGTAAGTCTGTCTGTAAGAGAGAGATGATATTACTAGTACATAGATGGATATGAGAATAAGAATGAGAATGAGAAAGTCGAAGTCGAAGTCGAAGTCGAAGTGGAAGCAGATGAGTAATCATCACATCTACATCTATCCGGGAGAAAGCACTTTTATTTAATCGATGAGATTTTTATGCATGCGAGGCAATGCATGCAATGCAATAGGGGGGGAGTCGGGATCACAGGTTACAGGTTACAGGTAAATATTAGATCATAAGAAGAATATAATACGAATAGAGTTGAGTAACTCGACTAGCTTAACCAGCCAGCTCAGCGCGACATACATACTCAGGTACTCAGGTACTCAGACATCGATGAGATGAGATTTGTTGAGTTGAGAATAGAATAGATTGAGTTGATATTGATATATCGGAACTTCATTACAATGATTAAATATATTATTTCATATTGAGGATATGCGAGGAGGCTCTTGGTATATTGATTATAATAGGTTTTATATACTTTTCTTTCCTCTCTACTCTCTCCTCTAAGTCTTCCGTTCTCCTATCACAACTCTCTAATACTGCTGACAACCAATCTTTTATAGTCACCAGTTTAATCCCACATATCCACTCCTCCCCCCCCCCAAGCCTCTCTCTCTCTCCCCTCCTCATGCCCTCATACATAATCAGTATCCCTCGAATATATACCCCAATTCATCCATCATCCATCATCTATATCCATCATTCACTCACTATTCCTCTTATATATCTTATATACCAAGCTACCTACCGAAAAGATACATTAAATCGCCAATTACACAGACAGACAGACAGACAGACAGACACCATATCCTGACATATAGATATATACAGATATCTCTCTCATCTCATCTCATCTCATCACATCAAACTCATCAACCCAAACCCAACTCATCTCAACCCATCTCATCACACACCTCATCAAAGCTCATCACAGCTCATCTCATCTTATCTCAACTGAACTCATCAACTCAACCCAACCCAACCCCAAAGTTCCCCAGTTCTCAAGTTCCCCAGTTCTCAAGTTCCCCAGTTCTCAAATTCTCAAGTTCCCAAATTCCCAAGTCCTCAAATTCCCAAGTTCCCCAGTTCCCAAGTTCCCAAGCTCTCAACTTAGGTATCATATCAATCAATCAATCAACGAAATTAAAAGATATGAATGATATCACCTAATGAACCACACACTAATAACCACACAAAACATCCTGCCATACATACATGATGCTGCTGAGACGAGGTGTGTTTGTCGATCGTAATTTGGAGTCGATAGATGCCATATGTCCTTGACCTCCTAGTTCCTTTCGAACAGTAATTATACCCATTTTGATATTATTTAACCTTTTTGAATGATGTTCAAGTGATGATGTGTTGAGAGAAGAGACTACTGCTCTACTACTCTACTCTATAACCCTACTCCCCCTACCTACCTATCCACATGCCATCACATCCCACATCCCACATCCCACATCCCACATCCCACCCACAAACTTTCATCATCATGCAATGAACCATATCATATCCCAACTTTTCAATTTTCATTTTCATTTTCATTTTCATTTTCATTTTCATTTTCATTCAACTTTTTTCTTTTTTTATATGATGAGGAGATATCAAATATCGTATGCCATTCACATACTCGAGTACATACATACATACATCCATACATAGATGTATACATAACCACAACCACCCACACACATATACCTTACCCGATGAAAAACAAGGAGAGAACCCGCAAAGCAAAGCTGACAAATGATAGAAAAATGCAAATGATCATCTCTAAAGTTTCTTTGAAAAATGCATGCATCCATAAAAACATGAATGCGTATCCCTCTGACCCTATAGCCAGAGCCTGAAGCAAATATGTTAACATAAAGAAATGGCAAAAAAACGGCCAGGCAATGAAGTCCATCCACGAATTACTTTACTCCTTCCTTCCTTCCTTCCTTCCCTCATTCCTGCACTCCATCATTGCTTTTCATCCAAAAGATTTACCATCGACCATTTTTAGCCCACCTTACCTCACACAGGTCACCCCATCCATCCCTTCCTTACATAATGATAGCAGGAACATCAACATTAACCTTGATGGTCTTGTGTGGAAGAATACTTCCTCCATTCACGTAAATCTCATCACCAATCGTAACATCATCACCCAATACACTGACATTCTCCAAACGTGCCCATTTGCCGATAGTAGAGTTCCAACCAACGATGGTGCTCTTAACCCAAGCGTGATCCTTGACCTTGGAACCCTCGAGGAGGACGCAACGTTGTAAACGAACACCATCACCGACAATAACATTGGGACCAATTGTTACATTGGGACCGATGCGGCAGTTCTTGCCAATTTTGGCAGAGGGGTCGATTAAGACATTGCCACCGTGTACGTATGGGGTATTGGGTGGGGTAAGGAGCTTGGAGCCCTTCTTGGTAAGGGAGGAGAGGTAGAGACATGTTCCAGAGAGGAAATCTTTAGGTTGCCCAACATCCATCCAGAATCCTTCCAGGTCGAAAGAGTGTAATTGACCATCTGCGCAAATGGCAGGGAAAGTCTCTTGCTCGATCGAGGTAGGGCGGAGGTCGATGCGCTTGAGAACACTTGGGTTTAGGATGTAGATACCAGCGTTGATGCGGTTTCCGACGAATTCGACTGGCTTTTCTACGAATCGATCGATTCTGGAATCGTGGATTGATTTATGAACCACGACACCATATTTGGATGGTTCTTCGACCTTAGTTACGACAATGGTACCTTCATCACCATGTTTCTTGTGGAAAGCAGCCAAGTCCGCGAAAGGATATTCGCAGATGACATCTGAGTTGAGAACGAAGAAAGGGGCATCATCTTTTCCAAGAATATCTTCCGCGAGTTTGAGAGGGCCAGCTGTGCCTAATGGCTCGGATTCGATCGAAAATGTGATTTTAACATTGAACTTTTCTTCGTACTATTGTGCCTGCATTAACTTCTGCGGTGTAACCCAATATTTTTTCCTGGTAGTAGAGAATCATACCTCAGCCAAATACTTTTCCATAACCTCTGGGCGATAATTTACAGCCAACACAATATCTGTTACTCCAGCTTCTGCCAAGGCTTCAATTTGATGTAAAATCATGCGCTTATTACCGAACTCGACTAAAGGTTTTGGGAGGGTGAGAGTCTATGTATAACGGTCAGTCGATGGGTATCTTTTGAAGCTCTGCGAAGGGCGTCATATCGATTTCGAATATCGCATCATGACATTGAATAACGTACGAGTGGGCGCAGACGGGTGCCAAAGCCACCGACAAGAATGAGAGCTATTTAAATATGTTAGAGATATATCTTAGAAGATCTGCGAATGGGGATGCACCTACCCTTCATTTTGAGAGTTTGTAAGTTTGTAAAAGTTTAGAAAAGCTGTATGTATTTCTAGATCTGCCCCACAATTGAAGAAAAGAAGAAGAGGTGTCAAAAAGATCTGAATAGAGTTCGATGTTGATCGCAATTGTAGATGATGAAGATAGTGAATGTTGAGCTGTCCTTATGAATTGGATATACTCAGCACGGTTGGGAATGAGAAAAGAAGAGAATTGTACAATTAAAATTTGATTCTAAATAGAAATCAACGAATGACTTGCTATTAAAGGATTTAGCAAAGAATTAAGAGTGAAGAAAAAGCTCAAAGTTCTTGTGTAGTTGTGGTTGTAATTGTAGTGATTATTGTTGTTGTTGTGGTTATTAGAAGAAGGCCACTGTGTCAATGGTACTAAAGCTATTTTGGGGGTCGCTTTCCAATTTCTCGATTAGCGTTTGCGTTTGCGGCGTTGGGGAAAGGGGTAAGAATAAAGTGGCTCTCAATTGTAAGTGAGATTGAAGGATGATTTAATGGAATCAGAACTCCAATTGAAAGAACACGTTCTCGACTTTATATATGTTTGTCATTATTTGTTTGATCTTTTCTCTACTCTCTCCTCTCCTCTAATGATTGAAGTTGAGTCAAATTTTGAAATGCATATTCTCATGCAAGTACTCGTTTCAGGAATCAGAGGAATCAGGATTACTGTATGCTAATGACCCCGTCTCTATTGAAAAGTTATAAAAGGTACTTACATAGATGAGGTGAGGTTAGAAAGGAGACTCTACTCAGGTAGTCGAGTAGTCGAGTGTAGTCGTAGGAGAAAAAGCTTGGCTGGTAAGGAGACAGACCCCATTGACATTCAATTCACGGATAACCAATCTCCTTCATCCCCTATTCGCGAATTCAAGAGAGACGAGACGTCTAGCTATCCATCCCTCCTCCTTCCATAGCACATCACATACTTGAGTATTCAACATCATTCAACCCACCAATCTAGCTACCTACACACCCTACACAACCTACACAATACCATGAAAGAAGAGATTCCCCTTTGGCATATCCAAGCAAAAGACATCGTATCAAAATCAGTCACGCTTCATATGCTTAAACCTCGTGTTATTCAATAGTCAATGGCATGAAGTCTTAAGATATAATGATACGAGGTGAGGTGAGGTGAGGTGGTGGAAGTCGCCGATCCAAGCTTTCGTTTGCTTTTGCTCTGCTTTGTATCAGAATATCAGAAGCTATCACGAGATGTGAAGAAAATATAGTGTGGCAGTGCAGGGAAACTTACAGTAACTTCATATCATCAAGAAGCTACAAATGGTGGGGGTTTCTTAGCCGATCAAACTTCAATTGACTAAGTGAATCTGAGTTTGAGTTTGAGCAGTAAGTGATGTCAACACAAACCTCAAACCTCAAATACGACTGACATATCGATTGTTCTCGCCGGACGGATATGTTCAAAAACTTCTTTCTGTTTCAAACTTCACAGCTACCGAAGGGGATGAATGTCTACTAATTGTTCGAATTAATATAGTTAGTAATCATGAAGGAAGAAATGGCCCAGGACCAAGAATGAAGATGGTCACCACCGACACTACGAGCGAGTGGAAGAGATGCAGGTGGGTAGGGTATAATATGAGATATATTCATGCCTTTTTTTTTTCTTCTTCCCTGGGAGTTGTATGCCTACCTTAGGTAAATTACCTATAACTACTGTGAAAATAATTTATTATGTAATCTTATGTATGTAGGTATATTGATAACAACCCAACTCAACCCACTCACTCCATCACCAAAACCAAACCGCTAAAACTGCATTACGCCCAAAACACCTCTCTTAAATCATATTTCACACATCTCCCACCCCATCCCCCCCGCGCCCCACAAATCTATTTCTTTCCCTTCCCCTTCCCCTTCTTCTTCCCCTCTCCCACACTAATCCCCGCCTGTTCCGCCTCCCCTCCCCCAATTCCCCCCTCTCCTCCATCTCTCTGATTTTATCCCTCCCACTAACCATAACCATCAAATCACGATTCGCCTCTTTCAACTCCTCACATTCCTCTTTTAACATTCTCAATTCCTCTTCTCTTTTCCTCACCCCCTCATTAACAAACCCAATCCTCTCCATCAACCCCTCAGACACCTTCTTTTCCTCCCTCAAACCCTTCCCCATTCCCCTCGCAATCTCCTGTGCCTTTTCCGCTTTCCGCTTCTCCCTCTCCAGGTCCTTTTCTAAATTCGGTATTGTATCCAAACTCAATTTATTACATTTCCCCTCCAACTCCCCCAATTTCCTCAAAGCATTCTCCGCATCCCGACTAGCCACCGTAGCTTTCTCACTCGCTGCACTAGCCTTCGCCACTGCTTTCCCCACCAATTCCTCGAAATAAACCCTCTGACTCTCCAATTGCGACGTCAACAAATGTGTAAATTCCAACCCCGCATTTTCTAATTTTTCGCGCGGCACCATGTCCATATCTTGAGCCATGCTATTATTAGCTTGCGCTCCACCTCGAGAGCGGGACGAGGGAAGTTCGATGACTTTGCTATCATCGCCTTTGTCGCGTATGAGTCGATGTACCCAGATATCACCGGCATAGTCCCAAACATGTTGGGTTTCGATCTCCAATGCGAAATTATGTGCGGATTCTTTCCAGTGGTCTTTGGCGTGTCCACCTTTGTATCGTCCACATCCAACGTTCCCGCATATGAGACAGATCCAGAGATCGTCGGTACAATCGCAGGTACTACATAGTGATGCTTCGCCACTTCCAAAGGGTGGGTTCTCGGGGTCGTAGGTTGTAGGAGAGTGTTGAGAGGCAAGTGCTAGAGAGGGATTGGTATGTCGGCACACGGGACAACCTGTACCGCGCCATTTTTCAAGACAGGCACAATGGAAGACATGTTGACAGAGGATCGTGAAGAGGCCCGTTGTATCGTCCATTCTTTCGAGGCAGACCGGACAGGTGGGAAGTTCGACGAGGTTTGGAGTTGGAGGTGGGAAAGGTTTAAGATTGTTTCGTAATGGAGCTGGTGTGAAAGGATCATGGGATAATTCGGGGAAACTTGTATTTGATATCGAGGAGGTGGGAGTTTGAAAAGTGATCGACTTTATGAACATGACATGGCAAGTCTCTGGCTGCATCAAATATCGTCAGCTCCGAGCTAAGATATCCTGTGCTAAAGTGGAAACATACCTCCATACTATTGAAGACTTTACCATCCCACTCCGCCCTCCATTTCCTTGCCACGTTCCCATCTCTGAACTTCATAAGTACCATATACCTATTCAACCTCCCCGTCATAACTATTCTAAAATGGCTAACCTCATACATTGTTTTCTCTCCCACAAAACCCAAGAAATCCCTGGACGTGAGGTAGCTCGGCACAGCAGGTATACATAGTATAGTACAATCCTCTGCACTACCTTGGTTCTCATCCGTCTCACTTGACCCGTTGTTTCCCGCCTTATTAATAGGACTTGCCGCAGTGTCCGCATTGTAAACCTCTATGCCCACTAACCCAGGAGTTTCTTCCACTTCCCTATACAAATGCACCACTCCCCATCCCACCTCCGTATTCTTCAACTCCAATCCGTTCCCTTCCTCAGTATGTAATTCCTCGAATCTCGCCTTTGTGACTCTACCAGCAGGCTCCAATCCCGCATTCATACCCACAACACCACCTTGACTACTCTCCCCTCTGCCATGATATCCCCTCAGTAGATCCATATTCAAGCTTTCAACTCTGACCCTCCCAAACCTCCAATCCCGCCTCGAAGCCCGCAGGTCTCTTTTCTTATCCACTAAATTCGCGCTCGGTGGTGCGTTTTCTAATTGCGAATCTTTCCTCGCGCTCAATATAACAAGGTTCTCCGATTCTTCACGTTGTGCTCGTCGTGAAGGTCCGCAATCAATAACCCCTGCCTTTCCCACGCCTGCGATAATTCCTCGCTGAGTTTCCTGGGCGTTTCCTAGCCGGAAATGATCCCGGCCTCCCTTTGTAGTATTTTCCGTACGTTGTCCCGGCACAGAATCAGTAGTCGAACTCTCCGTACCACCTTTCCTCCTCCTATTCTGTTCCCAAGCAACTGCTTTATGTTTTGGCCAGTCTTTTATACCAAAAATATCCACCCCCTCACCCGGAACCCAAACCTCCCTATTTCTATCCCTATCCCTCTCTCCCTCTCCCTCTTCCTTTCTCGTCGATACGTTCTGCGCCTCTAAATCAGGTAAAGAATACAATTCGAATTTGAGGTGATAAAAGTATGATGGCATACTTTACTTTTACGTGTGCATGGTGTATGGTTGATCTCGTCTTTTCGTATCTGCCAGCTTTGTAGTGGGGGGTTTCGCGGACGGAAGATGGCGCGAGCTGATTGTGAGCTCAGTATTTATTTATGGATGGGTGCCGTGGGTAGAAGTCTGTGGAGAGGGAGCTCATATGAAATATTAGAGACTTATCAGCTGCGGATCACAACCAAGATGGAATTTAACGTCGCAGACGTTGCAAATCAGAGATATCAATGGAGGAAGAAGGCATTGTATTTTGCCTTTACAAATTTCGATTCTGTGGTTGTTGCAGCCTCGCATCATTTTAGCTCAATGGGTGGATTGTGCGGGGCAGAATTTCGTCATTTGTGTAGATTGGAGTATTCGTATTGATGTTTACATAGCAACATACTAATATCACAATCACGTTCAAAGTCAAACAAGTATTCACATTCATAAAGCACAAAGTTAAATGTCAAAAATATGTTTTGACTATTGAATACTATCAATCAAGGTAACACAAGCCTGTGTACTATGATAGGAACCTGCTGATCCACCCACAACACCAGGTTATTGTAAAACGCCTAAAGAATATATGTGTAGATCGAAACCGAAACATTTATTGACCACCACGAAGACGGAGCACTAAGTGCAAGGTGCTTTCCTTTTGAATATTGTAATCCGAAAGAGTGCGACCGTCCTCCAACTGCTTTCCAGCAAAGATCAATCGTTGTTGATCAGGTGGGATACCCTCCTTGTCCTGAATCTTTGATTTGACGTTATCGATGGTGTCGGATGACTCGACCTCCAAAGTGATTGTCTTGCCAGTCAAAGTCTTAACAAAGATCTGCATACCACCACGAAGACGAAGCACCAAGTGCAATGTTGATTCCTTTTGGATATTGTAATCCGAAAGAGTGCGACCATCCTCAAGTTGTTTACCAGCGAAGATAAGACGTTGTTGATCAGGTGGGATGCCCTCCTTATCTTGGATCTTCGATTTGACGTTGTCGATAGTATCCGATGACTCAACCTCCAAAGTGATTGTCTTTCCGGTCAGGGTCTTGACGAAAATTTGCATACCACCGCGAAGTCTGAGGACCAGGTGAAGGGTAGACTCCTTTTGAATATTGTAGTCGGAGAGGGTACGACCATCCTCAAGTTGCTTTCCGGCGAAGATCAAACGTTGTTGATCAGGAGGAATGCCTTCCTTATCCTGAATCTTCGACTTAACATTGTCGATGGTGTCGGAGGATTCAACCTCAAGGGTGATGGTCTTTCCCGTGAGGGTCTTGACGACTGTGATGATGTTAATACACTGTAGTAGTGTAGTGCGATGGCAAATGTGATAACTTACAGATTTGCATTCCGCCACGAAGACGGAGAACGAGATGGAGAGTGGACTCTTTTTGAATGTTATAATCACTCAAGGTGCGACCATCTTCAAGCTGCTTGCCAGCGAAAATCAAACGCTGTTGATCGGGAGGAATTCCCTCCTTGTCCTGGATCTTGGACTTCACATTGTCGATCGTATCGCTGGACTCAACCTCAAGGGTGATGGTTTTGCCGGTGACTATAGCAGATGCATGTTAGCAGATGGTATTGATAAGAGTTATCGATGGGGTTATTGATGGAAGATGTTGATGGAAGTAAAGTGGCGATGACCTAACAAGGCGGCAAACGGAAAGGTGATAACTTACGGGTTTTCACAAAGATCTGCATGTTGATGGATTTGTGATGTTAATCTTTTGATGATGTAGATAATATTGTAGATGAAGATTTATTGAGAATCAAGAGTAGTTGTCGTGAAGAAGGTTGATGGATGGATGGAGGAGTTGTTGTTGTGTGTTGGAAGAAGGATGGAGGAGGTTGAAGGAGACAAGGCAGTCTTTAAGTACCTGAGAGAACAACCGCACTGAACTTACCTTATCGCTTAGCGCCACGCCACTACTTTAAAGAGAGGTGAATCATAAGCAGCCGTATTGCCGTATTAGTATATGGTGGTATATTAGGAAGGCACTGCAACTGCGCCTTCTTTTACTCACCGTCAAGTGTCAAGTGAGTGGCTCCTTCTAGGAATTTTTATATTATTTGTATGGATGATTACGAAGCAGTTCCGAGTTGTTGACCACTACTTTCTCGCCTCTTCCTCCTACATACATCATTATACATACCTTAGTAACCTTACATTAATGCTTTGAAAAGGAGTTCCTTTAGTGATTACTCTACAGAATCATATATACGCTTCTATTCTAAACCATAGATACAAACATCTTCTTTGTACAGGGTGGACCCGTGGATGCCACCACCAAAAACACTTAATGTTTCCGGACATCATAACACCCCTTCCCTTCCTTCCCCCTTATCCATTACCACCGATCCCTAAATAAGCCTAGCCTAGCCTAGCTTATCGCCGACCCCGCCTTCCACCCATATTCGGTCTCGGGTCATACGGAATACTGATCAACGAATGAATCCATTGAAAAGATCAACACCACAACATACAATTTGATTCTGATTCGAGTACAACAAAAACCATTCCTCCATTTCCATTTCTCCAACCCAACCTCCTTCCTTCCTTTTTATTCAACACTTGCCTTCTCTATGTCTCGGACCTTTTGACAGTAGTATTACAGTACCCGTACTATCTCTTTGGAATCCGTATCTCCCCTCCATCATCTATGGGGGTCTGCACCTGCTGATACCACAATACTATACCAGCCAAAAACTGCCAGTTGTACAAAATCTGGTGCAATTCCCGTTTCACCAAGCTTTCTTTCTTTTGTCTATCTAAAATAAGAATGAATCTCATATCAACGGGTTCCCTTGATACATAATTTCCTTTTCCAATTCCATCTTCTATTTCCATTTCCAATTACATTTCCATTTCCAATTCCAATTCCAATATTGATAAACTCTAAAATCTAAAATCTAAAAAAAGTAAAATCCTACCAATATCCCTCCCTGAATCCCTAGCCATTACAATCTGTTTATCTATCTATCTATAGTTACGGAAGAATCAATCAGGAAGATACAAAGATAAATACAGATAGATGCATTTACATGACTCACTAAAAAGGTCTTTGATATCGATAACCACTCTTTCCCAGGCTTCTCAATTGCCACCCCCTCACTCCCTAGCCTCCATCTCCATCTCCATCAACATCTACACAAACAAACAAATCCACATCAACAATAATTAGTGTCAAATGATTTTAACATTTTTTAATCAACAATACAAAGTTTTAAAGAGTTTTTTTTAATCTTATGTAATGTTATCTCATGTTGCCCAAGACCGGTATCTTCCTCCAAGTCTTCATCTTCACCTTCACCTCCTCCCATGTATAAAAGACTTGCCATTCACCACCTAGCTTGCCCATTTCAACCTAGGTACTTCGGATACAGATCCCTCTCCATCTACATCTCCCTCTCCTCTTCTCTTCTTCCAATCATCATCATCATGATCATCGACACGAACGCAAATATATCGCCTGCTTGCTTGCTCGCTCGCTCGCTCTTTCTCTCTCTCCATTGCTAAATCCCAATTCCAAAATTTCGTAATAAAAGAAACCCAATGCATGCGTAATCTTCATACTCATTCATACACATGCTCATGTTCATGCCCCTTCATTCTTCATTCATAATCGACAGTTACTTCGATCCTTTCTTCTGCCTGCCTTCTTTGCTTTCCTTCATTCGCATCCAGTAACAAAAACCCCATCAAAAAAAAACTTTAAAACTTCAAATTCAAATTAGAATGCGCAAGTTGAATTTGACGGATGTTGATTGTTCATCGCCAATATTCCACTCATATCATTCATTCCATCCATACCATCCATCCCTCCATAAAAATCACCGACAAAAAAAAACAAAAACAACAACATAAAACAAGAGATGAAAACAAAATAAAATAAAACACAGCATAAATCCATAAGAACATAAAAACGTCAAACATGTAAACGTGAAAATCTTTAAGATTCCATCATCTTCGTAAGATTGGTTGGGGTAAGATAGGGATGAGGTTAATGAACTAAAATGATATCTGATCAGATGAGTTCATACCAAGGTACCCTACCCTAACATGACATATCGTTTCGTAAAAAGGGGGGGGGGGGGGGTCGGGGGTCGTGGAAGTTCTTCGAATCGGATGAACGATCGAGAAGTCATTCAAAATAAAAATAAAATAGACTTAAAATAAAATAAAGCGAAAAAAAACCGAATACGCTATGCCGTGCAAAGAAAACAGGAAATAAAAGCAAACAAACCATCTTCTTTCGATGAGCCCGCGGAGACGCAGACAATAAAGAGAGAAAAGGTTAAGCAGAGATAAATGATCATAACTTGGCAAACGAAGCCTTGCGTGAGTCTTTCCTCCATCATATCATATCATATCATGTCATGAGCAGCATTGATTCGTGTGTCTGTCGACAGAACAGACATTGGTGACATTTGTACAGTCGATTATGCAATGTGGGTATATAGGATGGGGGAGGTATATATTTGCAAATGCGTGTGGGGGAAGAATCGTGGTGGGTTTCGAGGAACTTCATTCATTCATATCAGGCATTGACGACATGTATTAGTTGGCGCGAATGACGAGTTTGGAGAGGAATTTGTTGGAGAGGCAGTCAAAGTCTCGACGGTCAAATTTGGCGTCGGGTCGTGTCTTGAGATAGGATTCTAAGCGGGGGGTTAGTATATGTTGTATGTAGGAAAGGAAGGAACTCACCATGCTTGGTAACATGACCTCGCATTTCAGTCATAGCCTCACAAACAGCAACGTTGTTGTTGAGGAGTTGTCCATGTCTTCTCGTTTCCCAATCGGTGAACGCAGGGAGCTTTTGAGAGATGGCATGGAAGAGACCGACGATAACACCAACTGGCGTAGTTTCCATATCGTTGCAGAATTTATTGACGGCTGCTTGGTCGGGAACACGGTAATGACAATCAAATTGCATTTCTTCCCAAACGGCTAGGAGAATAGAAGCGAGCATGAAGATGGTAGGCCAGTTCTTGAGTCTGTCGCCACTGTAGACGCTAGAGTATAGCGAGGACAATTCTTCGAGAATCTCCTTTTGCAGTTCTCGCCACATGTCGGCTAGGGCACACTTGATCTGGAAATTGATCATGACGGGTGCGACAACTTTTCCGTTGAATTTGGAATCTTCGTCGTCGATGATACCTTGCATTGGGTGTTCATCACCTCGTTGCTCGACCATGGTAACATGTAATGTGAGATTGTAGGCAAGGACGAGTTTCAATGCTTTGCGGACGACGGAAACCTTCTCTTTCATGTAGTAGCGGTGAGCGGTCTTCAATATCTCAGTAATGAAAGGGGTGCCCTCAAAGTACTCATCGATGAACTCCTCAAATGGTCCATCGATATGTTTATCAAGATATTCGGACAAAGCTTCATTCGAGACACCTTCGGCACCAGCTGACATTCTTTCCGTGCGAGTTTCAAATTCAATAGGTTCTTCATGAACGCCCTCTACCCAGTCTACATTGAAGCAACTATCATCACTAACGTAAACCTCTCTAGCCATAATCGGAAGAGCAAACCCATATCCGTGAGTAATCCATAGCAGCTCCTCCTTTTGTGAGAAACCCTTGATGTTGTAAACAGACACTCCACGGCCCACGTGACGTTCGTAATCCGCCTTCCAGTCCTTCATAAAGTATCCAATATCCTTGATATCGATACGAGTACAAGGAACCTGCCATAAACGAGCATGCGAAGGTTGACATCCAGCACACGGCTCACCCTTATCGCAAGTCTTCTTCAAGAACTTACAACGTAAGCATGCCCTCAATTTCCTTATTTCACTGGCTTGTTTCCTCTGCTCCGGTAATAGTGGTCCACGTCTTCTACCAACACGCTTCTCGGTTGGAGGAGCATCTTTCTTTCCATTCGATGTGCGGCGGATAACGGGTTTGGTGGCTTTGGCGGTGGGACTTTTGCGAGGCGCGGAGTTTCTTCTCGCAGGTGAAGAGGTATTTGAAGGGGAAGTGCGATTTGAAGTCGTCGAAGGCGCAGTCGATTTCGAAGAAGATGCTTGGATAGGTTGAGGAAGAACAGCCGCGGCGGGGCTAATAATATCGTGGTTGTGATGGTGTGCTTCACCGTGGAAACAATTCCTATGTCCACCAGTCACATCCAAATAACTTTCAGAGCCCGGCGAATACGGCGAATATGGATATGATGATAAATCCTCGAAACTGCCAAAAGTATCTATCGATTGATGTCCATCAGATTGAGATGAGTCCGAGTGACTTCGCAAATGTAATGTCTGTCCTGGATTGAAAATTGCTGCATTCTGCGCTTGTTGATATGTATTAAAATCTTGATACGTGTCGACCGTCGACCATCCGTGATCGCTACTCGAACTAGGTAATGATAATACTTCCAAATATGTACCTGTCGGCGAGTTGCTTCCAAGGCTCTGTCTTCCTATACTTGGCATCCCATGGTTCGCATTGAAGTTCATGGCATACTCGAATTCGTGCCAATCTTGCCATTGATTTGCCTGTGCCTCGACTGTTTGTGCGAGTCCATTAAATGGAGCTTCCATCTGAAGACTGGCTTCGAGTGCCGCCTGTGTCGTTGCCGGTAAGCCATAGTCGAGGGGTGTTGTTTGATACGGGCTGCCAAATGTATACTGTGGTCCCATCAATGTGTTATCCGGAATAAATTGCGACAGCTGCTGAGGTGACAGTTGTTGGGGTGACAAATGCTGAGGTTGTTGCTGTATCGGCCAGTCTGTCAATAATGTTGGAGAGTTAAGATGATGATGATTTGTTTGATACTGCTGGTGTCCACTATGTCCTGGCGAAGTTTCCCGTCGTTCGTCAGATCCTCCTGAGGCCATATCCAGCGGCAGTGGCCAGGTCGAGCGCGTAGCCATATTGGTATATTGGTATCGTGGGTCACGTTGCTCGAAAGAAAGGTCTAATAGACCTTCTGACGAGAAGTCAAGATTTGAGCTCATTGTCGCGGATTACTTGTTGGAATGGTCAATAGTATTGTAAGAAAGAGGGTCGAAGACACCGCTCTTTGAAGAAGAGGGAAACCTCACGATGTTAGTCGGTGTGTGGCCTATTGGTAGTAGAAGTTCGTAAGTTGAGGGTAGGATCCACATAAGGAGCGGTGTGGGAATTCGGCAAACTGATACGACCCCAGCCATTTTGAGTCCACTGGCAAGCCTTCGCCGAATCAGGTGTGACGTCTGGAACCACAAGCGTCTTTCTTACTGCATGGGGGCAGCATATCAGCATAAAGACTACTGCGAGAAGAAAGGTCATGTGTCCAATGGATTCGATTTGTATGGTAAACTTTGGTAAAGTTCCCCTTAGGGAGAGAGAGAGACAACTGGAAGAGCGAGTACGATTCAGGGCTAACCCATGAAGAAATCAAGCAATAAGAGCAGCTCAATAGTGGGCTAATACCACTTGTGCAGTTGTGAGACTTAAGATCCTTGATAGATAGAGTTGATGGGCTCTATTTTTCAAGAGGGGCTGGGAGAGCTGGTGGAGGGGTTAGAATTGTGAAAGTTAGGGAAGTTAGGGAAGTGGGGAGATAGGGAGATAGAGATAGAGATAGCCTGTAAGACAGTGTAAGTACAGTAGGTACTAGGAAGTTAGTACAATAGGTAGTTATACTAATGCTCAAATCAGTGGCTCAGTGCTGAAAGTTTGGCTATATAATAGCTGATGCTAGGCCTTTTGAAAAAAGTTCTGGGCATCTGATCAAACTTGGGTTGATGGTTGATGGTTGAGCCTTTTGAGTTGAAGGCTCCATCTCGATCCATTTATTTAATACTCGGCAATTATTTCAGGGTAGATCCCAGATGAATCAGAATCAAATTCAAATATACATCTCGGCCTCTCCTATTGAAAATCTCTAAAATTTCTTGTTTGCGCGCACGTCTCTCTATTTTGGCCTCGGCATATCAGATCTTTCGCCTAGACCCGAGATGGATCGTGGCAGGGTGTGCTGATACCCGATACCCGAGCTACTAACTACTCTCTCAGCCTCAGGTACACTGCAAAAAAAAAAACATTGATATGTTTGGTGTCCAAACTTTGTCGAACCTCAATAAGTCTAAAGTATAATATGTACCGGTAATACTCATATATGTCGATGATACGACCTTGAAGATTATTGTAAGATGGTGACCACCATTAATCATTTATATGTACGAGTACTGTGCAGTCTAAACTGTTTCCATCTCATTTCTCTTCATCTCACATAAACGGCAGAGATGCAACTTTGGGGGTAGCAGTGAACAAGGGGATGATCATCGTTAAAATGATTACCGCTAAAATGCTTACGCCGTCCATGTATGTACAACTTACTCGCACTGTACTAAACTAGATATCTACCGGCATCGCACGAAACAGAGATATCCCTCCCTTTATCGAAACAATTTCAGATTGAAAACATCTCCACGACTGCAATACACGAGTACTCACTGTTACAGTATTACCGGTGGACCTTGCCAAACTGCCAACGAGAGAGATCTGAGACATCAACAGGTACGGGCGGAGCAATCAAATGAACAGCCAGCCGCCATATGCGATTGCCCCTCGTTTCCCCCTCCTTCCCCTCATCGTTTCGCAATTTCATCATCATGATGTATGGATTGAGGAGGTGTCACTCAACTTCGCAAGCAGTGTAACCCCCGATGATTTCTTGATTGTAAAAATTACTCGTATCTTATCCTCTAATAGAACGACCAACCCCTCTAGCAGCTGCATATCCTCAACACCACACACCTGCAGCGGATCAATTCTCTTTTGGCTAATCTGAAAACGTTCTGCGAATCAGCGCATGCCGACATGTATCGCGTCCCATGCTGATAGTGATACATGTCCACGCCTTCATTATGAGATCGGACATTTGTCAGTTATCGGAGGGAATTGCCATGTCATCATCAATCACCACCTGTGTATGATAATCTCTTTCCCTCTTTCCCTTCGAAATTTCTTTTAAAGGACTAACCATTCTTGCCACCCATCCTAAGATCACTTCCACTTCTATCATATTATACTTGGTGGTATGATTATATTGTGTTATGAGTGAGAAGGGACCAGGTGGTAGAAAAGATTGGCCTCTTAAATTGGATTGGATGGCATTCAACATGCTCTGGACCAAAAGGCACTGTACTCAGTACTACTGTACCAGTAATCATATGTTGTCGGCTACGACCGAAGGATGACATCCCATTCATCGAGATACAGATATTGAACTTGCTTGCAGACAACGCCTTACGGTAACTTGCATTTCGTGAATGCAAATGCAAAGGTATTGTAACAGAATTGCCTTACTGTATAGATCTTTAGAACAATTGTAGAAGACGTATGGAACGTTGCTTGCATTGTACGGAGGTACAAAAGGATCTGATTTCGAAATGTGACAAATTTACCCAAATGCTCGCCTTTTCAACAGTCTTCTTTGTAAGCGAGCACTGGCCAACTAACTCTAAAGTATCAACAACCAATCCTTTCAACGACCTGGGAACAATATTAAAGATCCAACAGCGAATCATAACGGACAATCACTGCGTTTCTTGAATTTGGAAATAAACACCTTACCCAATCCACATGACTTTCCTCATCAAAGGAAAGAAGCACCAGCACCATAGTGTGAAGTTCAATCGACGTGCAATGGAAGAAAGGAGTGTAAACAAAAAGTCTTCACCTCCATCTCCCTCAAGCAGATTAGATCAAATTCTGTATGGTGATTCACTGAAAAATCTACCGCAAAGGCCTGGTTTTGTCATACAAGAATCAGAATCTTTGAAAGCAGATATTGAGGCTGAAATTGATGAAGATATCGTATACGGCTCATCCCGACCAATTACAGAAGAGGCTTTTGTGAGCATGATCCCCGATACATTCAAAGAGTACCCCCCTCTCCGTGATCTACTACAGACCCAGACTTCTCACCTCCAAGATCAAACCATTCAAGAATGTCTTCCCTTTCTCTCTGGTACGGAAGCGGGATTAACTTATAATCCATATGGGGTCCCTCACCTGAACCGAAAAAAACATATTCAGTTCCTTCATAAGCAGCTACAGAAGTTACCCTCTGCATATGTTGCTGCTGATGCAAGTAGGCCATGGATGTTTTACTGGGCTTTGGCTGGTCTCTCAACCCTGGGGCAAGACATTTCTTCATATCGAGATAAAATCATTTCAACATGTCGCCCCATACAAAATGTGACTGGGGGGTTTGGTGGAGGAAATGGTCAGATGTCACATCTAGCTACTACCTATGCAAACGTTCTATCAATAGCCATGGTAGGTGGGAAAGAAGCTCTAGATATCATTGATCGCAAAGCAATGTGGAAATGGTTAAGCAGTTTGAAGATGTGTAGTGGGGGTTTCCGAATGGCTGTTGGTGGCGAGGAAGATATCCGGTAAGCCCTCCGAAAGTGTGACAATGGAGGACGAAGAACTGATGATTCAAAAAAGTGGTGCATATTGCGCGCTCATTCTTATTACGCTCCTGAGTTTACCTCTTGATCTTCCCCAAGACGCTCCCGCCAGGTCATCAAACTATACTACTTTCATCGATGGACTTCCGGAATGGATCTCAACATGTAGGTTTCAACAAACAACGCACCAAATCTTGTGCTAACAGGTCAGGTCAAACTTTTGAGGGCGGTATAGGTGCTCGGCCAAATGTCGAAGCCCATGGCGCCTATGCTTTCTTAGCTTTGGGTTGTTTGTGCATCTTGGGTGAACCACATATCACAATACCTCAGTAGGCCCAAATTGTGTATCTCATCATCCACGAATCGCAATGCTAATCCACATTTAGGTATCTCGACGTACCGGGCTTTATTTCGTGGTTATCTGCTCGTCAATATGCGCCGGAAGGCGGCTTTTCAGGTCGTACGAATAAGTTAGTCGACGGGTGTTACT